GTCCGCGGCGTCCCCTGCCCGGGCCTGTGCAGCGTGCGGTAACGGCAGGGGGCCGGGCCGAGGCGTTTCTCCACGGCGGAGAGGCGGAAAGCGAGTCCAGGAGATAAGGGGGCAGGTGGGGGCTGGCAGAGGTCCTGGAAATCTTCGTGAGGCTCGTTAGTCCGTGTCCTTGAGCGGAGCGTTTTGCAATGGAAGTAGTTACTGGAGGACTGTCATCTAAATTGGGTAGTGTATCTGTAATTTTAGATATATTAAACTATTTTCCTCTCTCTTTCTAATTCCAAGCCAGTACCTTCTTAGCTGGCAATCAAATTTTCGTCCAGTATAGGATCTTAATTTAGAGGCATTTTCTGCCTTTCTTCGGAGCCAGCGCTGCTAACAGTCAGGAAGATAAGTTGGTATTACTTGTTCCTGTACGTTATAAACAGAATTATTCATTAAATTCCTAACGTATGTGTAACCAAGCTGTAAAAAGTGTTCCTGATGTGGCCTGCATGTTTCTGTATTACCAGTCATGCCTGGTGAGAAAGGAACCTATCTTATTTTTTTCAAGATCCCTGAGGCTCCAGGACACAGAGGTGAATTTGACATTTTCTATCTTATTACCCGAATTCAACTGCGATGGAAGCAATAAAGATACAACCTTCACAATACAGGCCATAAGCGATTTTAGACGAGCACATGCTTTAAAAACTTGTAACTATTGGACTGCTAAGTGAATTATGAAATAAATCCTAAGTCCTGCAAGCTTCTCAGCTTGCTTAGGAGAGTAAAATGTTCCACATTCTGGGCAGTTTTTTTGGGGACACCGAATAAACGTTTTGAGAGGTTGGTGCATCTGGCTTTGTGGGTACTGTCACGCCAACTTGTAGAGGGCAAATGAAACTTCTCGAGTCAGACATGGTTAGAAGTAAAGTTAAGGAAGAAGCAACAATGTTTAAAAAAGGAAGAAATAAAAGAAGTGTGAGAGAGAGTATCAAATCAGCTCAATGTTTCAGAGGGGATGAAGTGAAAATGAATTTTTGCTGTTAGTAGGGCTTTGCTTATTTTGGTGAGCATTGTTTCTGTGGGCTGTAGGGACAAAATTGGAGGTTGTGGAGCTAGAATTGAAGGAAGGGAGCTCCAGAGAGTGAATGTAGTCAGTGGTCATTGTAAGCCTAGGGAGAAAAAGGAGGTTTACGTAGGCTGGAGATGCAGTTGTGCTGAGAAAAAAGAGAACTTTAGGGTGATGGCCAGTGTAGGAAAGGTTGGAGGGGAAAACTAGAGAGAGCATAACTGGAATGAATACAATATGTTCCCTGACATTTTGAATAGAGCAATAATTTGGTGAAAGGAATTGAATCTGGAGCTGGACTCTTCCAGGTGGGATCATTGGATAATTCATGTTGAAAGGGACCTTGAGAGGTCTCCAGTCCAACGTCTTGCTGAAAGTCAGGTCAGTTGGGAGATCAGACAGGGTTGCTCAGGGCTTTGGTCCGTTTGGGTCTTGAAAACCTCCAAGGCTGGAAACAGCTCAGTTCCCTGCTCTGTTGCCTGACTGTCATCATGGGGATGACAGTCTGAACCTCTCCAGTTCGAACCTTTCTTTTTTCAGTTTGAAAGGACCTGTTGTTTCTCATCATCTTGCGCTGCACCACAGCATGTATCCTTGGCTCCATTTCATCAGTCACCGCATAGGTATTGGGGGGCTGCTGCTAGGTCCCCCCAGAGCTGTTCTCCAGGCTGAACTGGCCCTTTCACACAGGTGCTGAGCCTTCAGCCATCTCTGTCTCCCTTTGTGGAACTTGCTCCCATTTGTCAACACATACCTGGTATTGAGGGACCCAAAACTCATCACAGGATGTAAGTCTTATGAGTGCCAAACAGCGGGGCATAATTCCTTCCCTCAATCTTCTGGTTATGGTGTTCTTGTAGCCCAGGATGCTGCTGGCCTCTGTTGCTAGGCACGCTGCTGGCTCATGCTCAGCTTGCTCTCTGCCAAGTCCCCCAAGGCCTTTTCAGGAGAGCCCTCCCTGGCCATTCAGTTGGGCCAGGGACTCCCCCATTGCAGAGAGTCTTCCCAGATGCAGGACTGTACATCTGTCCTTGTTGAATTTCATGAGGCTCCTGTTCATCTAGCCTGTCGGGGACCCCCTGGATAGCAGCCCTGCTATCAACGTTGTGAACCAGTTGTCGTCCACCCCCCGGGCATTTTGTCACCTCCTTCAGGTTGTTGATAAAGATGTTAAACAGGACTGGTCTGGGAGTAGAAGTGGTACCCTACCTGTTATGAGTCTCTGGGCAGAGTATGACTTACTAACCACCACCCTCCGAGCTGGACCAACCAACTAGTTTTTTACTCATCAGGTTGTGCACCCATCCAGACCATAGTATCTTAAATTAGATGCAAAAATATTGTGAGAGATGGCGTTGAAAGCCTTGCTTTCACCCACTCCATTGAGCAAAGGTCCTGCTTTTACTACCAGCGTAGCAGCAGAAGCCCCTGTGCCCTTGACCGTCCTTCACAAGCCCTAGCTGCAGGTGAACTTTGGTTTTCCTGACACCACCCTGACATGCCCGGCGTGATATTTCTCATTCCTCCTTTGTGGCCTGTCCTTGCTCCCGCTCCCTGTATGACACCTTTGTGCATGGGAGCTGAGTCACGAGTTCCCTGCGTAGCTATGCCGGTCTCCTGGTACACCTACTTGTCTTCCTGAGTGGACCACTCTTGCCCCTGGAGGGGCTTAAAGCCCCGCCGGCTTTCCTCAGCTTCCTTTTCCTTCAGAGCTGCCTCTCGCTGGACCCCATTTACCTCTTCCCTTGCTAAGGCGGAGTCTGCTGACTTCATATCAGTTGGTTGAAGGTAGAAGCTGGATTCTGGCCTTATGTGACTGAGTTTTACAGTCTGACTGTGTATTGCAGAGATGAACTTTCCTCACTGTTCATTTGACTCGACTCTCAGCAGCAGTTTTTTGTGATTTGCTGTGCTGTTTTGACATTTTTTTTCCTGTGCCTCTTTAGGACCCAATTTTGCAGAGGAAAGCTGTTTGAAATGGCACCTGCAGGGCTTCGTTGACTTCCTGGGCCCCTGCAGATGCCTAACTGTGCAATTGGAGGGGAAGATCCCTCCCCCTCCCTGCCCCAACCCAGTTTTCTGTCTTCTGAAAGCAAACAGCTACCCTTCTAGAGAGTGTTTTAGAGAGGGACACTCTCGGATTGGAGGGAAAAAGCAGACCTGGAGAAACAGTAGTGAGTCATGTGGCCCAGACTGAAAGGAAAACTAATGCAAGCTTGGAGGCTGATGTGTAACACTTGTGATGCGAGTGAAAAGTGAAGTTGCTGTAGCACATATTTTATATGCATTCTCTAACTGGGGTTGAAAACTTGGACCTCTTGTTTTTTTCCACTGAGTTACGGGAAGCAACACAAGCTCTATGCAGAGCACTGAAATGCACATTCCTTCATATGGAGAACCTGTGGTCTAAGAGGCTTTATTGTCAAATGTGCTTTAAACTGGAGTTGATCTTTTGCTTTTCAAAAGTTCAGTGACATTGTGTAAGCCCGACATCTTTCTGACTCTCTAAAACTTGTTAGTTTCTCCAGAGGTTTTGATTGGACCCATTTTTGGGGGGAATCCATTGGATTAAATGTAGTTACTGGGAAACTGTTGAGTTTAGTGTAAAACCTTGAAGAGAAATAATTGCCATTTCTGAAAGTCAAGTTTTTGGCATTTGCGTGTGGCACCCTGCATTGGCATTGTGGTTCTAGACTTGAACTTTATACCACGTTGAGACAGCAGTTTTTTGTGTTTAGAGGGCTGTGACTAGTAAATTACAGAGAGCTGTGTAGGTGTGTTGTCTCATTAGAAACTGGCATTTCGTTTTTTACAACTTCCTTTTCCATTGTTGGAGAATGTAGCAGCTCTGTTGTAAACAGTGTGTTGGATCATTTTACAAAAAGGGAGAAATCTAATTGGGTGACCTGTGTAACCTTCTTGCTTTATAGTGTTTGCAGACTTGGAGAGTGGTCTTGCCTTCAGTGGCACTGTACTTTGCTGTAGCTGTAGCCATTTCTTTTGTATTTAGGGGCTGCTTTCTTAGCAAAATGATGAAGGCGTTTGTCTGGTTGTAAGACTGCTCTAGTTACTTTTGCCCTTAAAGAATGATTTAAAGGTTTTGCTTTGTTCTCCCTCTTCTCTACCCTCCACTTCCCTCTTCACCTTTAGGAAACTAGCAGGATGCACTCTCTTCATCACAGGCGCCAGCCGGGGCATTGGCAAAGCCATTGCTTTGAAAGCTGCCAAGGATGGCGCAAACATTGTGATAGCTGCCAAGACAGCTGAGCCCCATCCTACTCTTCCAGGGACTATCTACACTGCTGCAGCGGAGAGTAAGTTGTAGTAAATGAGGGTGGTCTTCAGGAGCTGGGTTGGGTGCATGCTCTAGCTTAATTGCCATACCTGAGGGGAAAACTGCGTAGACGCTCTTAGCTCCAATTCACCTTTAATAAAATAAGGTTAGTGCTTCTCTTGCCTCCCAGGAATGCTGGGAGGTATCAAAATATTACTGTAATGAAGATGTGTGTGTATAGATGTGAAAATGCTATGTTAATTGAGATGTATGTGTGTACCATATGCATTCTCAGTGTTAAGATTTGGTTTTGGCTTCCCTGTTCTTTACGCAACATATAAAAAGGTCGCAATTTGAGAGTGCAATTTTCAATGCCTTCTTGAAGCATGTCACTGAATGAGAGATTCTCAGTAGGTTCATGCTATTTGTTCCATCTGAGAGCAAATTTTTAAATGTTTAATTTTTTAATTGTGCAGTTGAAGCGGCTGGAGGAAAGGCTTTGCCATGTGTCGTTAATGTGAGGGAAGAACAGCAAATTATTAATGCCGTGGAGAAAGCTGTGAACACTTTTGGAGGTATGCTAAGGTGTGGAGGAGATGTTAACAGGCAGGTTGTTCAAACAAAAAGAGAAAAGAACAGACTGCCTTACTTGTGCTTTTTGTCTTTAAATGCTAATGTGAAATGGCTTATTTTAAAACCAGGGATTGATATTTTGGTGAACAATGCAAGCGCCATCTCTTTGACTGGCACTTTGGAAACAGAAACGAAGAAAGTCAATCTTATGATGGATGTCAACGTACGAGGAACCTACCTTACGTAAGTGCTGAGAGAGGGAAGCAAAGTAATTGTAACAAAATGTATGATGTTATCTCAGTTTTTCTGAGAAATTGTGTAGCTGTCTTGTTGCCCTAGAGCTGGAGTGCAAGTATTCTACATGTGCTCACAGGAAGTTGCTTGGTTATTGGCCAACTGATTTGAAATAATTATTTGCAAGAATTGCAAGTTGGAGTAAACAGGAACCTTATTACTGTAGTCATTAAGTGTTCACAAGCCCCTCCATGCAGGTAGGAAGCAGAAACTAGTCTATTTCAAATGGAGCTCCAGCTTCGCTTTGCTAAATGCTGTCTGCTCTTTCGTTTCAAGCAATATTACTAACTCTTTGCATACATCAAGTGCGATATTTTTTTTGTCAGCTTCCTTCTCATAAGTGTCTTTCTCATCTTTAGAGACATTTTATAACTTACTGGAGTTAAAAGAGAAATGTTAAAGATGTACCTTAACGATCTAAAGTGTTCTCAGCCTACTTTCAGCTTATCAATTCTATAATTTATTTAAATTACCATATCAAGATTTGATTTCACAATTCCTGTGTCCTTATTTTGCTCATTTTTTGGAAGTAGATTCAGTAGGTGGGATCATCTTTAGGTTTACAGGGTGTCATTTATAGTTGCTCTGTTTTGAAATGAAAACTTCGATTTTGATGGGGTTGTGTTTTAAAAAAAAAAACCCTTAGGATGATGCAGATGCTCTATATTCAGTCATTGCTTGATGTGATCAGGAGCTTTTTGTATCAAAGTTTTATCTAGAATAGTGTCTGTTATTCTCCTTTGTGCAGATGAATCTGGTTATGAGATACCATGATTATATTCCTTAATGTTCTTTTGCTAAGAGTCAGTGAAGGGATTTGCCATTAGAATAGTGTAAAAACACACATGAATAGCAGCTTTCTGAATGAGAGAGACACGTGCACAGCATGTAGATAGCACGGAGAGAGAAGGAGAGTGGAAGAAAGAAAGACTCTGCTTGAGAGTGGGATTTCTGTGCTTCCACCCTGTGATGTCTGCTTTTGAAAGGTTATAAGTGTAAGCGGTTCTGCGCTCAGAAAGGAAAATTGTTTTTGGAGCTTAGCATTCCAGAAAATGCTCTGTGGATATCCCTTGCTAAATCTCTGAGTGGATATCCCTTGCTAAATCTCTGAGTGGATTCCACTGTGTTGCCAGTGGCAAGCTCCATTTACCCGCACCAGCCAACAGCGACAATCACTTTCTTGATGGTACATCTAGCTATTCCAAATTAATGGAGAATTCTTAAAGTCATCTTTCCTTTGGGTGCTACTCTGCCTTAAAAAGATTAAAAAGCAGGTTCTGTGTTGCTGTGAATGGAAGAGTATATGAAAGATTAATGCCTCTCAGGGGAAGTTACAAATGATCTTTGTCATTGCTTTTATAGCTGTCAATTGGGAAGACCTAGTCAAGCATTTCAGCCTTTTCTTCCCCTTGCTTTGTATGTTGCTTCTGCTCGTAATTTGTAGACATCTGTTTGCAATTTAATGTTGAGCAAGTTATAATAGCTAAAAAAAAAATGGTATGGATTTTTTGTCTGTGTGGAGGAGGTAGGGAGGACGTCCCCTATTACGGAGTATACCGGTTGACATATTCTTGGTTCCTGTGCATTAAGAAATTGAGACATCTGTTAGTGAACCTTGTGCACTGCCACTGAAAAGAGTTGAGGCCCCAGGACATCTAACCAGGTGGTAAATGATTTACTTTACTACTGTAATGATTTTGCGGTTGAAGGTGTCCCTTCTGTGGCTGACAGTATGCGTGGGTCCTGTTGAAATGTGTGAATAGTAAGTAGGTCAGTAGTGTAGTCCTCTGCGGTGCTGTTCTCCCTACAAAGCTTGATTAAAAATTCTCCAGCAGAGTTCAAATGCAAACATGTACCTTAGTGCTAGAAGTGAAGTCAAGTGACGTTTTTTATAAAGTAAAAGTTACGATTTACAGATACGTGTAAATTCTAATTTGAATGAAATAGTGACTCTTCCAGTCAGCTGAGAATAGGTTTTCAGTTTTGCTTTGAATATTTGCAATAGCTTTTCACTATACAGTGTTATTTCTTTAACATGGTTTTAAAGAAGAAATAGGTATGTGATCAGAATATATTTATGACTAAATGATGCTCTACACTGTTAATTTTGCTTGTTGCCTCATGGTGTTTTGTTGGCCCTGCCAGAACTATTACAAGGAGATTATGGCTTCTGAGCATCTGGAAAGTCAGCTGTAGTAGATGCAGCTGCACTATTTGGAGAATGTGGTCCAGTTAGCAGGAACGAATACTAGGCCTGAGATAACTGAGCTAGGACGGATTGGTTTTATTGTTCTTTATATCAGTTAAATAACTGATACAGGGGCAGGGTCTCAGCTTAGTGTTGGACTTCCATGAAAATGAAAATACTGGTCTGTTAGTATGTTTTTTCCTGTAATTATAGGTGTTTCATAAAATAAGAGGTGACTGATTTGTCTGAATCTATCTTTCAGGTCTAAAACATGCCTTCCCCACTTGAGGAAGAGTAGGAACCCCCATATCCTGAACCTCAGCCCACCTATGAATATGAATCCCATGTGGTTCAAAAATCATTGTGGTGAGTAGCATTCAGGGCCTTTGTTGTTATTTTTTGAGAATCACGTAAATACCTGGTGAAATGTGTGGGAGTGCCAGC